CGGCCATTGGCCGCCGGCCGGCCCGTCTGCGCGCGCGCCCCTCGCAGGTCTGCACTCCATGAAGGGCCCATTAGCGCGGCAGGTGCCTCTCGGGCTGTAAATTTGCCCCCTGATTTATCTCCCTGGGGACGAAATAAATCCGGCTGGATGGGAGTTTAGTTAGGCAAAGGTTTTAATGGGGAATCAGGCGAAAACAGGAGAGCATGTTTTATGGCCCAAATCATGCAAATCTGAGGCTCCGCCTGGCGCAGCGCGACGTGCATGGGGAGTCAGCGGGTGCCGTCGGGGGTCCTGGACCGCGCTCGCCAAGCGCCTGCCGCAGGCGTCCCCACCAACGCGGGAGAACATGCCCACAAAGGCGGGAAGCTGGAGCCTTGGCTCCCAGGCCCCAGGCCGGGGAGGAAGCCGAGTCTCGGGGTCTACCGCCAAGGGCGGACTTGCCCGCGCGATGCGCTCCTTGCTTGGCCATCAAATGGCAGGCACTCTGGGCCGATGGGATGGAGCCTGAGGGACCACACGCGTAGCGCCGGCTCGCGCGCGCTGCTGGACTTTTCTCTGTCCCCTCCTGGCTCGGGGCAGAGCGTGGAAACGGCCCGGGCGTTTCCTGGTCGCACAATTGCTCCTGGATTCCCAGGACATAACCGGGGCCCTGCGCTGTGGCACGCCGGGCGACTTCGCCCTGGGCCTTCTGCTGCAGAGCACAGTGCCAGGCGGGAAGAAGGCCCCGGGGACCCAAGCAGACTCAGGTCCCCGAAAGCAGAGGGCGCGCAGGGTGCCCCATTCCGAGCTTTAATTCGGCGGCCTTCCGAAGGGCTACAGACAGAAGCTTATCCCCTGCTTTGGCTTGTGGGCCCATGTGGTCCTCGGTGTCCTCCTCTGGGTACAAAGAACCCTGCCCCGCAAAATTGCTGCCCAAACGAGATGCGCGCCTGCGTGCAGCACATACTATGTCGCCCTGTCCTCATGCTGGCGTCCTCCGCGCTCTGTAGCCTGCGTGACCCGACGACGCTGCTCTATCGCCCTCTGCTCCGGGGGCCGCCACATGAGTGTGTGTGTGAGCTGAGCGTCATTTCTCTGTCTGGGATGGGCGACCTTTCTCCGGCCGGGGCGGATCATTAGCAACGACTTCCCTGTCCCATCCTGGCGGCCAGGGTTTCCCCATCGCAAGCGAAGGCGACCCGCAGGGCTCTGTGCAGGCGCCCCGTTTACGCTCGCGCCGCACGTCTTGGAGGCTCGCTTTCGTTTTGCGCAGTTCGGGAGGGGCTGGACGCCGCAGGCCCGTAGGCACGGTCGTGGTCCGAGTTTGGAGCGCTATTCGCGGCTGGGCTCCAAGGTTGAGGCCTCAGCTCGCTCGCACCCACTTCCCCGTCGGGCTGGGCGAGCGTTACTCCGGGAGAGCACAGGGGTGTCTCGAGCGGCGCAGCGCGTGGGATCTCTTCTGTGAGGTGCAGCCATGAGTCAGGGGGTCCGCCCTAGAGGCTAGCCGCTTCCTTGGGGTCCTCCCTCCCCACTTGCCTGGAAGGGACTCGCGGGACACAAGCGCGGCTGCCCCGCCGGTAACTGACCCGAGCGGAACCAGCCGGGGGCACCGAGCGCGCCGGCTCCCTAACCCCTACGCCGCCCTGGGCTCCCGGCCCGCGCAGCCCTGGGTCAGGTCCCTGGCACCCACCCCCGGAGACCTGGGACCTTCTGAGCCTGCCGCCGCCCCCGGGCTTCCTCGCGCACCACTTGCTGGGAGGGAACAAGACGCGTGTGCGCGCGAGGGCCGGGCCACAGGGTTTGGACCTCTGGAGGCTGCCCCAGGCCCCAGG